GAAGACTTTCTCTAACCGGGAGTACGGAGCTCGGGACCATGTAGCGTGTGGCTTACATAGTACACCGGTCGCTGGACCCCTTTCGGATCGGTTCGGCACAATACTGCGCTTACTGCACGATCGGAGACGGCGAGGTACACGTCTAGCTCTTCTCCTAGCTCGGGCTTTGAGATCACGATTGGCGACATGAGATACTCCTTCAGTTCATCAAAAGCCGCTCGGCATTCTTCGTCCCAGACGAATCCATTAACTTTCCGCAATACCTTGAAGAAAGGTAAAGCGCGCTCGGCTAGCTTGGAGAGGAATCGGCTGAGGGCTGCCAACCGACCGGTCAATTGCTGGACTTCCCGAACGGTAGAAGGTGGTTGCATGTCCAAAATCGCTTTTACTTTGGCCGGGTTGGGCTCAATTCCTCTCTTGGTCATCATATAGCCGAGGAACTTGCCAGTCTGAACCGCAAATGTGCACTTGGTCGGGTTCAGCCGCAACTGGTACTTCCTCATGATCTGGAAGCACTCCCGAAGGTCCCGAGTGTGGTCGGATCGGTCCCGACACTTGACCAGCATGTCATCAATGTAAGCTTCCAACGTTCGGCCCAACAGATCGGCGAAGAGCATATTGACCATCCTCTGGTAAGTCGCTCCCGCGTTTCGGAGACCGAACGGCATCACTCGGTAGCAATACAGCCCGTCCGGGGTCACGAAGGCTGTCTTGCTCTCATCTTCATGGTGCATCATGATTTGATGATAACCCTTGAATGCATCCATGAAACTCATTAACTCGGCCCCGGCCGTCTCGTCGACCATCTGGAGGATACTCGGTAGAGGATACGGGTCGAGCAGACAGGCCTTATTGAGGTCGGTAAAGTCAATGCACATCCTCCAAGCTGGGGGCTTAGGAACAAGGACAATGTTGGCCACCCACTCGGGATAGATCACCGGTCGGATGTGCTCGATCGCCGCCATTTTCTTAACTTCTTCCCTAACAAACTCACGGCGATCGGAAGAAAGGTGCCGGGTTTTTTGTACGACTGGCTTTACTGCGGGATCGACGGCTAGCTTGTGACAAATTACCGATCGATCCCGGGCATGTCTTCAGGCCCCCATGCAAAGATGTCAGCGTACTCCCGGAGTATGGCTAAGATCTCCGCTCGGAGCTCGGGGGTGAGGGCCCAGCCAATTTTAATCTTCCTGTCCGGTCGGTCCTCGGACAGTGGAACTTCTTCGATCTCTTCGGAAGGCTCAGGCTGCTCCTTCCGATCCTTAGCCTCCTCTTTGGCTATGGTATTCACCCGGGAAGACTGACCGGAGTCACGTCTATTGACCGCTCGGGTGTAACACTTCCGGGCGGATTGAACGTCGCCGCGGACTACGCCGACCCCGTTGGGGGTGGGGAATTTCATGCACAAGTGGGGCATAGAAATTATCCCACCGATCTTCATAATGGCGGGTCGGCCCAAGATAATGTTGTGGACGCAATGGAGGTTGACCACAACAAACTCTAGCTCCGTCTTGATCGACTTCGGGGATGTGCCGATCTCGACCGGGAGCGTTATCTTTCCCTCGGGGTAAATGAGAGCCCCGGTAAAACCCGACAGTGGTACACCGACCGGAGTCAGCTCCTTCCTGTCAAGTCCAAGTTTCTCGAACACGTCCAAATAAAGGACGTTTACACTGCTGCAGTGTCTACCATAACCCTCTGGATGTCAGTCCCTTGGACATCAATCGTGACCACGAGCGCCTCCATACCGTGGTCACCGTTGCTGGGTTGATCTTCGAGGGTGAAGGTTATGGGCTCCGTGATCGGGAAGCGTCTTCCAATCCACCGAAAATGACGTGGATGGTCGGCTTTCCTGCGGGTCGGCTACTAGACGGAGGGTCAGGGTCCCGTCGGTCATCACGACGATCATCTCTTCGATCGTTTCTTCGGTCCTGACCTGACCGAACGGAGCGTCCCTCACGATCAGAACGATCGGAACGGTGATGGGAGCGTCGGTGATCTCTCCGATCGGTGTTCCTATTGGGATCTTCTCTCCTCCCCACACATTTGTCCAACTTCCCAAGATTGAGCAAGTCCTCCAACAGTTGGCGCAAGTGGGTACACTCTTCAGTGTCATGCCCGGCACATCGGTGGTAAGCGCAATGCTTACTCTTGTCAGGGCCGTCTCGATCGGGGTGGGGGAGTTTGATGCGATTGCAGGACTGGGCGTACTGCATGGCCTCCGCTGCGGATCGGTTCAAGGCCGTAAACTCACCAGGCCTGGTGCGGGATCGGGGATGGTCATCACCCGATCGGTGTTCCGCCCGGCCGGCCGGTTTACGGGACGAAGACCCGACCTCCTGCGAGCGCTTTACGGCATTCGCTTCACCGGCGTTGGCATAATTTGTGACCCTTCGAAGGGCCTCCTCATACGTGGTCGGGGGGTGTAGAATGAAGTCCTGGTACAGATATCCTGCCCGGAGAGAGATGTGAAGCATATGGGTGGCGGTCGCATCATCCATGGGCTCGACCTCCCCGGCCGCCGCCTTCCACTTGACGAGGAAGTCGGTCAAGCTCTCCCCTTCAAGCTGCTTGGCCTTCTCCAAATACATATAGGGCTTCCTTACGACTTTGGAAGTGACGAACTTCCTCACAAACTTGATCGCCAAGGTGTCAAACTTGTCGATCAAGCCCGGCTGCAAGGTCTGGAACCATTCCGCCGCTCGACCGGTAAGCGTGGAATAAAATGCCCTACACATTACGGCGTCTGACACGCCCTTCAGCATCATATTGCTATAGAAGTCATTAACGTGGACCTCGGGGTCCGTCCGACCATCATAACTTTTCTCACCAGAGACCTTTAAATCAAGCGGGTAAGGCTGCGCCATCACCGCCGTTGTAAAATGCGTCTGGTGCAAGGTCGATTGGTCGACCGGGGGTGTTGCAGGGTGCGCGTTTCTGAACTGCGCAAACTCCGCCTGGAGGTTGTAGAGCAATTCTCGGGTCTCGTTGAGCTCGGCGGCTTGAGCTGCGTCCCGAGCGCGTCGTCGTCGGTGAGATCTCGACCCGCTATACCCGGATGAAGCCTCCTGGCTGGCCTCCTGCATCTGTACGTCTTCGTGTTGCCGGTTCCGGTCTTGGGGTCCCAAACGCTGACGCATCTCCGGTCGAAGGCGATTGAAAGCTGTTGCTCGGGCAACTTCTTCGGGAACCTCCGCTTGGGCGGGAACCTCGGCCGCTTGCTGGGCCTGCCATGGAACTCCGCCTGGAGGTTGTAAAGCAATCCTCGGGTCTCGTTGAGCTCGGCGGCTTGAGCTGCGTCCCGAGCGCGTCGTCGTCGGTGAGATCTCGACCCGCTATACCCGGATGAAGCCTCCTGGCTGGCCTCCTGCATCTGTACGTCTTCTTGTTGCCGGTTCCGGTCTTGGGGTCCCAAACGCTGACGCATCTCCGGTCGAAGGCGATTGAAAGCTGTTGCTCAGGCAACTTCTTTGGGAACCTCCGCTTGGGCGGGAACCTCGGCCGCTTGCTGGGCCTGCCATGGTGCCTCCATCGCATCAGCACCCCCCGACCCCAACCGCGAACGAGCCGAGCGTCGAACCCGGGAAGCGGACTGATGTTGCGGCTCTACCTGTGCGGTCGGGTGAACTGGAGGGGCGGCGGCTGGAGCCGTGTATGCAGGCGTATATGGTGGATATCCAACCGGGGGAGTGTAGTACATCGGTTGGCCAGGCCAGTACCCGTACGGCGGAGGTGGGACCGGGTACGGATATTGGCCGGGATACATCGCTGGCTGCTGCGGATACGGCTGACCGGGTGTTGGGTATCCCGGTTGAATGTAGTTCACCGGCTGTTGGGCAGCCGGGTATGTGTTAGATGGATGTGGCGGTGAGAGATTAAGATTCAAGTCCACCGTCTGACCTTGTTGTTGGGTAGCGTGGTGATCGGATGAACTCGCTGCATCCACCTGGTCGTCGGCGAAATTGTTGTATGCCCACGGATACATCGTTGCAAAGGAACCAAGTGCTCGTCAAGACGTTGCTTTTTCGCACGTTTCCCCACAGACGGCGCCAAAATGATACTGCTAATTCTACGTAAGCAATAATAAAATAAACCCGAGACCAATTAAAGCAAGTAAATATCTTTATTGATCGCGGTAAAGGCCCTAAGTACAATCTACTTGGTTGCTCTGAGTGCCGACTGACTGCGGTCGGGATTCTCTAGTAACAACCTATCGATCGTCCAAAAGTCCCCCACACTGTAGCTACTGTGGGTATTTATAGCCGCTGCACCGGAGACACAAATCCGGTCGTTCGACATGCTCTCCACGTAGCCACCACGTGTCATCCTCCCGGGTGCCCTATCTGTCGTCGTAAAGAGCCGCCACGTGTCCTTTGTCAGCTCTCTCGCCAAAGGGCTATCGCTCGGTGGTCGACACTATCGCTCGGGCAACTCCCGGTCGGACCCCGACCGAGTTCTTCACACGAAGCCCGACCTGTTACCTGCAAAGACAAAGAGGAAAAGACAAAGGCAGCTCGGTCGGGGTAAAGCTATGTCGGTCGGGATATTCCCTACCAATAAACAATGAAATCCACAATGAAGACTCACAACTTTCCCAAGAGAACGCATCCGCAGACCTCTGCTATGCATGAAATCAGTAAGTGTCCGACTATCAACTGGTGATAGTTCCAAAGAACCAAAATCAGCAACGTGTATCGCATTAACAAATATAAATTATAAGTTCTAGAACCCCAGAAAAGTTTACCAATATAAACTAGATATATATTACAGTTTAGGAAGGGAAACTTCGTCGTAGTACTTCTGTGATAGATCAATCAGCTCCTGTAATGACTATCATGAAAAGGAAAAATGTTAGGAAATAGAATGCAACTGAAGGTATTGAATTTCCTGAGATTATGTACATTTGCTACCTTAAGGTGGAGTTCAGTCTCCGACTCTTTTAGTTGGTTAAAAGCAGCATCAGACAACAATGAGCACCTATAAACATGATCAAGATTCTATGCAAGTTTTTGACCAAAAGGGTGAGGAACTGAATGTGGTTATTACACTTCTTAAATTTAGATATGAATTTCAGCTAGTCTTACCCAACGGGTTTTTGAGAATTCACCCCACCCGTGTGTTACATCAGAAATGTCCTTCAGAGTTGTTCCAACGTACACCAGTGCAAAAGTAATTGGCTGCAATACAAAGAATAGAACAACACATCAGATTTAAATAGCAAACTAATTATCTTATCAGTGAAGAATCTGCATATCAGGCGTGTTTGCAGTTTGCACATAAACCAGGCCAACAATATGCAAACTGACAGGCATGAGAGCTAAAGATGGCCCTGATCCCAGACAATAGTCTTATGTTACAGTAAGAATCCAAGGAAACAAAATATTTTCTCCTTATAACTCAGGGATCCACTTATTTTGGCTGGAATTCACAAGACAACATAAAGAGACACAGCCTACTTCATATCCAGTACGTCATTCTAGTATTATTGTGGCTCATGGATTCAACAATAATATTATCCGAATCTTATACAAAGAGCCACAATTATGGAATCCCCATTCAGGATCTTATTCCATTCTTAGGATTGGCTACAATTATGAGAGATAGGCATATTTCCCACGAAATTCCTGAGATAACATAAAATCTCATGTTCAAGTCCCAACTATATACCACCTTATGTCTTCTCATTGAAGAAAACAAGGTGCAATATATACCTGCTTTGTTCCCAGAACCAAGGGAATAAGGCATTCGGGTTCAGTTGCTTGTGTAGATTCATCAATGAGCACCTATAAACATGATCAAGAAAAGTATATCACAAACAACATAAAAACAGAACCACTGGTTCACACAACCTGCTGAGCATTAAGGAAAGAAAAATATGAGCAATACAATATAATACTACCTAATAATATGAGCAAAATAACAATATAATAATGCCTTTACCAATATGCACATATTATCCACCCCAACCTGCAAAGTTATAATACCGGATCAATGTTCTTGCTGTTTGAGAAAAGTATATATTAAAAGACAATAAGACATTGCAGTAAAGCATTAAAATTAAAGTTGAAACATACTTGAGTCGAATAGATATTCAACTTAGAGGAGATTTAATGGCAAGTTTCAAATATTTGCATTGATAAAATGAGAAAATGTGTAACACCCATAGGCCTTGCAAAATTCAAGAACTCCTTGAGCTTATTGCGCTTCGTTTCCTGCAAGACAAAGCAGAAAAGTGAAAAATGTCAAGTGAGTACATGCAGAACCTAAAATATCTGTCACGGAATGCCCATCAGGTTATGTGGGAATGCAATTGAAAAATGTATTCAAACTCCTAGCTTAGAGTTCAAGTTGACTCACAAATGTTACCCTCACTGACTACTCCTATTTTGAAACTTTTTAATCTTTTCCTGACTCAATACGTTTCTATAGATCTAAAAACCCTAGCAACATATTTAGATTTAATATTTCCCTTTCCAAGACAATGCAAAACATTTAACCATAGTGGTGAAATACTAAGGGTATGTTCGCAAGTCCTTTACCAGTCAAATAACCTATAGTCTTGGCCAATCCATCCCTACTCACTGCAGCGGAAGCGGAGGGGAAGCGATCTGAAGCAGCGAGAGTGCGTGCGATCGGAGCTATGGACGATGAAGAAGCTTGGGCGGCAGCGTTCGGCGATGGACTGGACTGGCCGAACGACGGCGATGGACGGCGCGCGGTGGAGGATGGAGAGCTGGGATCTGATCTGCTGTGGAAGGTGGTGCGTAGATCTGATCTGATGCTAGGGTTGTGGGGGATAAAATTAATAAAGCGCGTCCAAAGTTAGCCACTTTGGACGCGGTTGACTAAAGGGATTCTATTATTCGCGTCCAAAGTGCCCAGATTTGGACGCGAATAATAGAAGGCTTTTAATATCAGCGTCCAAAGTATATAGCTTTGGACGCCAAAATTGTTTTAAAATTAAAAAAAAATATTATTTATACAGTGGAATTTTAATTACAAAAATGCCACCGTGTTACACTTTTGGCCTCTAAAGTTCTAATTTTGGACACGAATTAATCGATTTTATTGATATTTTTTGTACTAGTGTATCTGAAAGAATTTCCTTTGTAAAATATTCCGTAGGTTTACAATTAAGCATATGTATTGTACCAGATAATAACTTTGATCTGGTTAATGAATTAATTTTATTTTATTTTCGGTTACTCATTTATCATCAAAGAAAATCTAATCCATCTGACCCATATCTTGTATGCTTTTTATATTAATAATTCTTTAATGACAATGCAGCTACTGTAAGGCAAGAGATTGCAGATGAGACAGATCGCATTACAGGAAGACAAAACAAATCTCAAATATCCCAATTCACCTGAGCATTTATTCTCCTAGGAGCAATAGTAATAACAGTAGAGTTGATAGCTCACAGCATGTAGCTACTATTGAAACACGGTTACATTTGGCAAAATGGCAACTACATTTCTTGTAACATTTCTATTGAGCTGCTTTCGATCTCCTACTTCTTTTCTCTCTCTCTTTCTCTTTGTTTAAGAAAATAATTTGTCTATGGGTAACTCTTTGTAAGTCACTAGTTATTTTTTACTACCTATTACTGGATTTCTCGTATATCTTTTAATCATTTATTACATTTTCCTTAAGCGCACAAAACTTTTAAATCTGCTCTAGGATGCATCACTATGAAATGGGTTCACTACCAGAAAAATGCACATAGAAAACGGTTATAAACCATTGTCGTAGAGGTAAAATTTCTGTTGTTGAAGCCGGTGTTGTTGTAAGTGCCGCGCATAGACAACGGTTAAAAACCATTGTCTTTTCTAAAAACGACAACGGTTTTTTAACCGTTGTCTATTAAGTGTTGTTGAAGCTGGTGTTGTTGTAAGTCCCGCACATAGACAACAGTTTTAAACCGTTGTCTTTTCTCGAAATGACAACGGTTTTGTAACCGTTGTCTATTAAGTGTCGTTGAAACCAGTATTGTTAAAAGTCACGCACATAGACAACGGTTTTAAATCGTTGTCTTTTCTAGAAACGACAACGATTTTTTAACCGTTGTCTATTAAGTGTTGTTGAAACCGGTGTTGTTAAAAGTCACTCACATAGACAATGGTTTAAGAACCGTTGTCTATTGAGTGTTGTTGAAACCGGTGTTGTTAAAAGTCATGTATATAGACAACGATTTTAAATCGTTGTCGTTTCTTTCTAAGACAACGGTTTTTGACCCGTTGTCTATTCAATGTTGTTGAAACCGGTGTTGTTAAAAGTGATGCACATAGACAACGGTTTTTAATTGTTGTCTTTTCTTTAAAAGACAACAGTTATAAACTGTTGTCTATTGTATGTTGTTGAAACCGCTGTTGTTAAAAGTCAAGCACATAAACTGTTATTTTTTGTAGAAAAGACAACAGTTTGTAAAATAGACAACGGTTTTTAACTGTCGTCTCAACAGTTTTTAACCGTTTTTAACCAGCTTAAATTTTAATCATATAAAAAATCAATTTATCCATTCACCATGGCCAAGTGTAGTTACATAATTTTGCACAAGCTAAGGCTCAAAATACAAAAGAACTAATTAACAAGTCTAAATACTTCGATGACTAATTCAAATCGAATCATATATCATCCAAGTCATAATACTACAAAAAACAATTCCACGAACCAAGTCTAAATGGTCACAACGTTCTAATGATCAAATCATACCTACCCTATATAACTTGATACAATATCGGCCCATTCAAAACGCATCCGATCAATAACCGCTTTGTCATAATCAACTTGTTGGAACTACATGTAAAAAGTGAGTAAATAAATTAGTACGTAGTCAACATAACATTATAAGAGATAGCTAGATAGATAGTGAGACTACATAAATAAGCCAAAACTATTGGCATAATGTAGTAGTATATGCACTGGTCATTCATTATTCTTTGCATTTGCTTGGATTTGGACAGCTCTAATATATGCCCAATAGGTACAGCTTGGATTTAGACAGCTCTACTGTTCATCACATGCAATGGTATGTTGTTAGGCACTTAGGCTAGGTCTCATTGCAATAAACCGAGCTGAACCACATTTTTAATTTGTTTGGTCTATTTATTTATGAGAACATTTAATTGTTCACTACCACAGTGACTACATGTCTACATATATCTCACAGTTAAGCAAGTGGTCTTGATGAATAATATGATGCAGTAGAATTAGGTAAAAGTTAAGCATAAGCACATTTTCATCACTGATTCTCAACAGGCCATAGGTGAATTATGTAGAGCACAAATGTCCCGATGATGTTTGCACACATGTTCAATTTACACTCTGTAAAACATATCCTCCAAAATAAATACAATATCCTCCAAAATAATAATAATTTTCCTAGAAAAGTTTTCATAAATATTCTCATTTGCCCGTAGGCTATCAAAATCATAGTTTTCAAATATCATCCACACATTCCATAATATTAATCATTTCTCCAAAGATAGATATAGTTTATACCTTCCAATTTGAATATACATATATAGATTTCCCAAAAATAGTATTCCGTCCTCCAATTAGAATATAAGATTCAAAAATAGTATTCCTCCTTCAAGGTATACACATATGAATACATTTATATAATTTCAAATAGGGATGGCAATTTGCCCCGTCCCCGACGGGGATCTCCGATCCCCGCCCCGACGGGGACGGGGACGGGGAAGTGAAAAATTTTCGAGCAACGGGGACGGGGACGGAGAATGTGTGTGATTTCCCGTCGGGGATGGGGACGGGGACGGGGATACCCCTCCCCGCCCCGTCCCGCCCCGTCCCCGAATTTTATATATATATATATATATATATATATATATATATATATATATATATATAAAGTATTGGCAGAATACTGTCTGTAAGTGTATTACTAGTTTACTACCACTTATATCTACAATGGCGCATTATTTAATTATTATATATATAGTGCATTACATATACAAAATGTATTCTGCCAGTACTAGGATTTAGATTTTGATTTTGATTTACAGAATATATATAATTTATCTATTTGTAGAAACTAGGATTTTGATTTTAATTTTTTTTTATATTATTAAATTACAATTATTTAACATTTTGATTAGGAATTGACGGGGAATGGGGAATCCCGTCCCCGCTTAATTTCCCGTGGGGACGGGGATGGGGAATAATTTCAATTCCCTGCCGGGGACGGGGACTGGGACGGGGATGGGGACGAGGTCGCGGGGATGGGAACGGGGAGTATACTCCCCGCCCCCGCCCCGCCCCGCTGCCATCCCTAATTTCAAAGTCGGTCACTCCTCTCAACAATATAAGGTAACATACTAGCCCTTGAGACCACTCTAAAATTTACAATTCTACCATAGGTTATACACTTCTCAAAACATAATTCAACTCATATAATTTCCATCATATAATACATTTTAGATTTATAAACACAAGCCAATTCAAAATATATACTTTTAGCTATTCATCATGCTTTTAAATTCAAACACATTTTCAAAACACTTTAAGGATCCAAACCAGGCAAATAGCATATTTAATAGGGCAAAGTAATTTAATTTGACAGACATAGAAACTTACCTCAAACTAAGATCCAAAAGTCAACACCCGATCTAGACTCAAATCCTAAGCTAGCCACTTTAATAGGAAGCCTATGAATCAATCAAATCTAATCTAGTTTAATATTACTATTACTAATGTTATAACTAACCTTGTTAGTCATGAGCTAGCTGGAAGGGTCGATTACCAACCCCGGCCCCTATCTACCGCCCTTACCCCTCCATACCATACCGCACCATTCTGAACTCCACACTGCACCGCGCAGGGCCGTTCTTGACCATGTTGGACCGGCGCGACCGCACAGGGCCCCAAATTTTTTTAAAAAAATATTATTAGATATAATCTATTATTTTTTTATACTTGATAATTATTATTATTATTATTATTATTTTTTTTTTTGAATTCATAGATTGGTCTTAATTGTAATTTAAAATAAAACTTTAATGAATTGACATTGAAATTTTGGTGAATAATTTTATATTTAAATATGAACGAAAATAGAACTATTAAACCTTATTTTTGCTATGTTTGAGGTCATAGGTTCGACTCTTGTTGTTAACATCCTTGTTTATATTTTATACCCGTTATCTTTGTAGTGTTGTATGTTCAAATATGCTTGAAGACAACATACCAAAGGACAATGGTTAAATAAAACCGTTGTCTTAAAAGACAACATACGAAAGGACAACGGTTAAATAAAACCGTGTCTTAAACAAATAAAGAACACGCAACGACAATGG